ACAATCTAATGACATTAGTAATGTTTACATCAGAGGACAACTTCTCTTATTTCCAAATGAATGACGAAGCACAGCGTGACTCAATTCACCATACAGCCTGACAACTTGATTTTGGTAGGTCTTGATTTTCACTTTTCGCAACACTTCTTCGGTGTCATTTTTGTCTTTTTGACCCTACATACACTTATCCACATCGTTCCAGTATTATAATGAAATCTATTCTAGTTTACCGCTTTCTTCGTCACAGGTCTAGGACAATTCTTCCAAATGGCTCACCCACATTACTAATGTTGTGAAGGGTTTCCCAGACTGACTCATCTTACTCAGAGGTACGACTCACCTCATTTTCCTCAATACCAAAAATGCAGTTTGAATAAAACTGAAAGCATAAAATGCGAAGCACAATAATCCTCTCATAATATTGATTCAGTACAGCTGTGACACTGCATTGAAATTAGAGATTGCTGTTGTTCATGGACTTCCGACCGGGGCTGGGAGATGACACATAAAAAAAACAGCCACCAGTTCAAAAGCCAATAAGAAACACAACTGAAGAGCAGTGACGGGTTTCTTACCTTTGAGGCAACAATGAGAGATCTTTTCCCCACGGGACAGACCACCATCAGCCAATCAGTGTCCAGTTCTGATGGCACATCCACCAGCCACTCTGACAGCATGAGCTAAGGAGGAAGACAAACTCACACTTTTATCTTCATAAACATAAACATCATTACTCAAGAGTCAGAAAATGATGATGTGAAATCTGTTGGTATTCAATAAGCCTGTTTGGCCTTCATTTTAGAAACGAATGCGCCCTCTGCTGGTCGAGATGAAGAATGCACACATGAATAAGAACGTCTCTGGGTAGTAACACATCAAACACTGACCTGGTTTGCGTAATGTTTCGGCAGCTTCCTCCTCTCAACCTCCATCCCCTCTTCCTCTGCGTTGCCATCTTGCTCCCGTTCCCCCTCGTTCTGTTTTTCCATGTCCTCCTCTCCATCGCTGTCTGCCCCCGTCCAGTCCCCGTCAGCCAGACGCCGTGCATGATTGACGTAGTTTAAACGTTTACTGAAATTAGTGATGGGAAAAAAAATAAAGAATTCACATTCAGATACTTGCACTGTGGTAATCAGGGTCTACAATGACCAATGCTCTATCTGGGGCTGGGGCTCTATTTTTCAACAGGCCATATAACTGCAGCTTCACAAATGGAACAATTTGCTGCTTTTCCTTTTATTTACTTTAATAATTTAAGATGAACTATTATTTGAGGTTTGGACTGTTGGTTGGACAAAACAAGCATATGAGGGTGTCACTTTAGACTCTGTGATGGCATTTCTCACTATTGGTTGAAAATTAGATTAACAGATTACAGGAGATACATGTTCCTAGTTATACTTACAAAAGTTTTACTTTAATAACATTTGCAATGCAGGCATTTTACTTGTAACTGAGTATTCTGTGATATTATTATTTTCCCTAAGCAAAGGATCTGAGTAGTTCCTCCATCACTGCCCCTCTCTATCAAAGTAAACAATCCCTGCCACCCCCCCATACATTGCATTATTGTGCCATTATATTATCATAATATCAGTCGCATAAAATGGTCTTAAAATGACAATAATATGGTTTATTGCATTTATTTCTAGGACAATTTATCATCCAACAAAAGTAGCAACTGTGACAGGCCTAATGGGATGTGAGTCTCTCCCAGCATGTTGCCGCAGTCACAGAACAGAGCTTTATGCTATAAGTTACTGTTAGCTGTATCGTAGCTAAATCAGCATATTAGTTGTTGTGTTTGTCCCGGTTCATGCAATGTTACCATGGCGTCTTCCTGCATTCTTCACAGCAGTGTGAAATGTTATCTACCACGCATAAACGTTACCAGAGGAAACACCGTGCTAGCTAGATAACTGTAGTGACGGTGGACAGCGAGGGTCAATCATTGATCGACTGTCATACAGTGCATGCTGCCACCAGTGTGCAGAGTTCATGCAAAACAAAATGTGGTCAATCAACTTATGTGTTGTAGTGATGAGAGTTTGTAGTGAAGTAGTGTATTGAACATTATGGTGTCTAGGACGTAGCTGACAACTGTATGTGCAGTCGTAAGTATGCTGCTGGAAACAGAAAGCGGAGAAGAATGGATACCTGTCACCACTTAGCAATAACGAGCCCTCACAGGTAAATATTTGTACACGTTGCAATGCAGAAGTACGAAGAGCAGATAAGCATCATCTTAAGTCTCTGTGACGTAATACAATAAGATTCATTTGGAGCAGTGATTTTAAATTGGTTGAATTCTAACCCAGAGGGGAGAGCGCCATACTGTGAACTGTAGTGTGAGGACAGTTACCTTTTCTGCAGGTCAAGGAAGCGTCGGCGCCGCTCGCTCTGCTCCAGCACACTGTACTTGCTCTTGTACTGGGCCAGCCGAGGGTGGGGGGCGGCGGTACTGTTGGGATCCTTGGACACAGCAAAGCTGGCTGACAGGGCTTTGGTCAGGTCATCCATGGGGACTCTGTAAATCAACACACCAGTGGTTATTTAAGCTTAGAAGCATTTTCCCCCTTCTCTCTGATAGTGACCAACCCCTTCCCTGAGACTAGTGAAGGTGCTTATATTGTATTGTAAGGACATGTGGTTGATAAAATCATGAATTATCACTATGTGCAAGCCTGGAAATGACACAAACATGAGTACAATTTATTGTGGTAAACTCTGGTTCTGAGGAAAAGGTGTATCCACCATTTACTGCAGACATTTTCTGTATTCTGGCAGTTCAACCTTGTCAGTTAACATCTGTTTGACATTTGCATGACGGCACATTTGTGAATGTCACTGTGTGTGTGTGTG